TCTTGAGAATGATGTTGTGAGTAAAACAGATGATATTCTGTTTATCCATACTCTCACTCTCAACATTCGTAAAACAAAACACCCTTTTTTGAGAGAAAGAAATATGTCTTAGAAGAAATTTATTCTCAAATTGTTTTCTGCAAAGGAAAGTCTTGTATATTCGTATCATCATTTCTTTACAGTTTATCAACACACAAAGAAAATTCCAAAAATGATATCACTCCACATAAAAATGAATAAGTGTATATCACAAAATATTAAGGACACGTAGATTTTGAAACTTTGCGATAAGAATGAAGAAGGAATACATTTGTCCACAAAACACTTCGAACCCGGCAAAATAAAGGATTTTTTATTTTTGATCTAACTATAACAGAACTTTGGAAGAATTACATATAAAGAAATTGTTCGAATCAGTCGAGAGACGCAAAAAAAATATTAGTGACATACAGATAATATCTTAATCATAACAAAGTTGTTTAATTTACTTATATGTATATATACATTCAGATATTTTTTATTTTACTGCTTTGCATAAAACGAGAGATTCGTATTGTGTATACTTCAATTTTCAGACTCTTTGTTGATATTAATTGTATGGAGGATACACAAACATACATTTTGCTAATTTTTACAATCTCACCAAGCATTCAGTATCCCCATGTCCTCATATCCATAGGAAAAATATAGCCAAAATATATTCTCAATGAAAAGGAAATGTTTTTTTTTATTATCTCAATTTAATCAATTTTGTAATGTCCTCAACATAAAAAAAAAATTCAACAAAAATTTATATTATTTGAAAAGCTTCATAATTGAAATTCAACGAATTGCGAGTGTGAAAGTGAGGCTCAGGGTTATAGATTTCTTCTCACCCTCACCTTCACCTTCAAGACGGTTGCTATGTACTTCACTCTTGTTCAATGATACGATATTTCCTAATGTTTGTTAGACCAATTTAGATGTACACATAGAGTTTCAGATATCCTGATATTAGGCATTGATTTGTATTTAATGAATGAGTTAAAGAGAAAAATATAACAGTTTCGACTAGAAATTAATCCACATTCTCAAGACAGTATGACATCACATCCCATGCTTTTTTAGTTATTCATGCTTACATTGATATAAGATATCAAATTTTGCATAACAGTCGAATTTCTCGTCAAAGAAATATACCACCAATCATTGTTGATCTTTAATTCAGGTCATCAGATGTATCTATCGGACGGCCAAGTCTTTATTTCCACAACTTATAAATATATTCTGATAGAATAGGATATAGATTGAAAGTGTGGAAAAATGGATAAAGACATAAAGCGTTCTGTAAACGAAGATGGTATGTCTTATTATTTCATTCGAAATTATCTTTTTTACTATTTAATTCTTTAGAATTCGATTCATCTTTGTACAAACGTCTTCGTTCTAATGTAACTTGTGTATCTGATTTACCTGATGAAATATTTCTTCTCATATGTCGTTATTTATCACCAAGTGATGTTCTTTATTCATTTTATACTCCTGAACAATCTCATCTTCGTCTTCATCATATTATTGGTGATTATTACAAAAAAATAAAATTAGATAAAATATTCAATGCCGAATTTGTTTATTTGTTCAATTTATTTTCTAATACAAGATTTCCTCTTCGACCTGAATCATTAATATTAAGTAATGAACATATTCCTCATCTAACACATAGTTTTTTTGACTACTTACATTCAAATACAATTAATTCAATATTTATTAATTTAAAATGTTTAATATTAATAAATTGTTTTTCAAAAGATATTTATATTCTGAATAAATGCTTATTTCAAATGACATTAATTCAATATCTTCATATTATTTTTCGTAGAACTAATGATGACGATGATGATGTTGTTCGTAAGCACAAAGAAGAGATTATCTCATTTTTATAGAAGTTTCAATAGATGTTGATCAATTTTGCTTTTATTTTTAGAATCCCGTCATAGAGAAAGATCTGATCTAACAATTGCTCAATTTCTATTCGGTAGACAAAGTTCCTCTTTAAATAAAGTTATTATTGATACACTTGATGGATTTATATTATATCAATTATTACTACCAAATCAATCTATTACTTATATCGATTTAGTTTTAGAAACTATCGATGATTTATATATATTACTTAGTGGATTGGTACCAAATGTAGAAACAATGATTATTCAATTACGTCGATCACGAATACTTTGTAAGAATAATCCACATATCATCTTCAAGCTTAAAATATCTCCAAGACTATAAGAGTAAAGTGAAAAAAATGAGAATTTATTTGTGTCTTTTTGTCCATAATATGCCAAAAATGACCATCGGATCACTTTAGTTTAGATGATTATAGAGAGAATTTATTCGATTACACTGTGATTAGATAATCTTTCAATGTTGTATAGATGAATAGCTGATTTATGAATTAGATTGAATGTGTACATCTACTGAAGGGAATTTAAGACAAACAATAGACGAAGCAATGAAATATTCGTATACGTACTATATTATGACACCTAGTGCTATTGTTTTTGAATTCTCCATATACAGTATCTTTCCTGAGCAGTTCATGATATCGATATGAATACAAAAAAAAAATTCATAATCTAGCGTAGTATATAACATTATATTATTTAAAGAATATCAGTTTTGTTTATTATAATTCTGTATTCCTAACTTAGTCTTTATTTTAACCCATTCCATCCCGTTAACCTCGATCATAATGATTCGATATCTTTAAAGTTACTAGATGCTTATTCGGATGATGTCACGTATTAGACAGACACACACACAAGTGGATTTCTACCTATCTCCGCATGAAACTATTTTGTTTAGAAAAAGGTCAAAAGTAAAAGGTATAAATGGTATTTCTTAAAAACTTTCTAACTCGTTATTTGATCGAATGGGACTAGACAGTTACTACCAGTTGTATTACATAGCAATGAAGAATTCAAGAAATGTCTATCATGTACTAAGCGTTCAATACTAATGATTGATATTGAATTCTAGTCCAGTGCGATCATCTTTATGAAATTTTCATCTTATTTTGTAGCTGGTGCTCATCCACGAAGTAATCCATCATGTTCAAAATTAACTCAATTTACATTACTAGAATCTGTTAGTGGATTTGATGTTAATGATATTAAATCTATTTTTGCTTTTATTCCATCTGTAATTAAATTAACATTAAGTATACGTGATACATATGATATAACATTTTGTCATGGTCCCAAATTTGAATCAATATTAAGCGAATATTTACCAAATCTTCGTGCATTTAATTATACAATGACCCATAGAATTGTTGATCAAACATTAACTGAAAGTTTCATTCAATGGCCAATGAATATTGGTTATTATGAAAATCTTAATCATTGTTGGATACATATTTATTCATTACCATGGCCATCAAATAAAGATGATAAACGTGAATTACCTATTGTAAAAGATGCACTTAATAGAACAGTGCAATCAGGTATTGGACCCAGTGAATGTGTGACAGATATTATGATTACAAATGGTAATCAATGGACTGAGTTAAAAACACAATTTCGTCGTGTTTGTCAATTGCGAACTTGTTTACCAATCAATATTGAATTACCATTAAGAATTTCAAAAGTCATTGTTACACAACAAATTCGTAAGGAAATTTTATTAAACAAAAACAAAATCTATCAATAAAAGATTTTGATTTATTTCTTATAGATATAACTTCAATAAATGATATTGTTCAACCTTTTGTTCGTAGTTTAACTGTTGAACATCGTTTAACTGATGACAAAGACATCTTAAATCTTGCTCGACAGTTTCCAAATGTTGAATATTTATCAATGTTTTTTCCAATAGATAGATCTTTATATCTTCATTGTTTTCAAACATTATTTAGTGCTGATGAGAATATTATTACAAATCGTCGTCTTTGGACTAAATTAAAATATGTTTCAATGGAATTTTTTCATCATCGAATTGATGAAATACTCGACGATAATAATATTATCCGTTGGTTTCTTCGAAATACTGATCTTAAATATACAAAATCGGGATTTACTTACAATCATTTTAATAGAACATTTTCTATTTGGCTTTAATATTTAAATATTATTGCAAAAAGGAAAAGTTTTTTTGAAATTCGACTAGTAAATAACAGGGAAAAGTGTGGGAGAGTTCAAGCTGTATTTGTCACTTGTTGCTTGAGGGTGAGGATGAGCAGGTAGATGTGAGTGGAGCTGTAAGTAAAATATCTAGTACCCGTCCTCACATGCTCAAATGATCCTACCATTAGCAAGTCAAGAGAATGATCGAATTTACCATTCATCGCATTTCGATCAATCAGAAACAACGAACAAAGGGTGTGGGTGCGGGTGTGTGGGTGTAGGTGTGGGTGTGGGTGTGGGTGTAGATAAATGGAAGAATCATGCTCACACCCACACCGACATCCACACCCACACCCTCTTTTATAGATTGGAAAAACTTAAAAATGAGAATGAATTTTTCTAAAATAATTGATATAATGAAAAAAAAACAGATTTTTTAGAAAATCTAAATGTACATGAATAATGAATACTGTTAAAATTATTTGATGCATCAAATGTTTTATTTGTAAAAAGAACGTAATTGCCAAAATAATCATTTTCAGTAGGAGATAGTGTTCCTTATTCTCATAAAATAAAGACCGTCGTGTTCAAGTTGATGAATATTTAAAAGGTTTTATTTGTGAATCGATAGTTGAGATAATATTTTTTCACAAATCGAAACCTATTGTTGATAATTTTAATTAACTCAATTATAATTCTAAGTTTATCGAATAGATTTTTTATAAATTTCTATTTAATGATTATTCTTTTAAAAGTATTTTGTTTTTCAAACATAGATCTTATTTTTGTATAATAAATATGTGCAGACGAGATATAACATGTGAGATGTAGATTGAATAAACATGAGCGAAGTGAATGGCATTTTCATCCCATTTAATCAATGTTTTATTAATAAAAGACTCGAATTTATTATGGGATGTAACACACTAGTCTCCATATGATCGGAGCGAAGAGTTGAATCAGCAGTAAAATCCAGTCGACGAATGTCATATCATTAAACGATGCGATTGCTGCTTGATAGACGGTCATCAATATGGAGGAAAATGAATATAATAAAGCAACAAAGTCAGCATTATTCGAAAAATAGATGTATACATCTCGCTTCTACAAACAAGCCTTGTTTGACGAAATAACATACATTTGTCCATCGGTCATGACCTGCCAATGTCTAGGTAGTTGAATTAAACTCGCATATAACAGTTATGAGTGATGAGAAAAGCACAGAAGAATACATGTTTTTTCCCCTTTATAATAAGAAGTGTATCAGACATACATTCCTTTGGATTGTGTATTTAACTTCACTGAAAAGCATGATTCAATTAAAGTATCGTTTATTGTTATTAGTCGATCTACGTGAAACTGGCATTAAGAAGATGAATTTATCGAATAATAGCTATGACCATGAAAGAAAGAAAGCATTTTCTTGACAAAACACGGCACATACAGTCGTCGGATATTTCAATGAAGCAAACAAGACGGTTATTGTTTTCAATCATATATACTTTTGTGAAATAGAAAACTTATAGTCACATAATCAGAAAAAGTATGACGGAGTATCTGACAACATTGCCTGTGGAATTAATTTACAAAATTCTAGACAATATTCCATCAATTGATACCTTTTTATCTGTATGTTTCGTCAACAAGCGTCTTCGGTCGATTTCTTTGACTTATCCTCGTTTAAACTGAACTTTAATCATGAGAACATATCAATAAACAAGAGCCAGTTTGATTCTATCTGTACTCAACTACTTTATTTGACCTCTCAAGTTGTATCTTTGACATTGCTCGATGAAGACAGTGTGATGAAGTTGTAAAGAACCCGATTTTCTTCTCACGATTCAGTATTATCGATACAACATTTCCAAATTTTCATTCGTTGAATTTGACATATATAGATTATGATACATGGTGTTTAATCAAAACTCGACTTCCACCACTCATAGTGACTCTCTCTATTCATTTGTTCTCTTCTGATATATTGTCATGTTTATCGGTGACATCTGCCACTCTTAGCGAACTACGCTGTCTTTCGCCATTACTCTAACGTCTCTCTGCTAAAATGTCTGGCTTTTGGGATGGTGATGTGAAAATTCGATCTCCAAATCCAGCTATATCATCTTTTGTTCAACATTTCCATCTAGAATATGTCACAATCGATTCATACAGTCTCCTAAGTGTTGCACCTGTGCTTTGTACTCGTGAAGCCATAATCGTGATTCCCGATTTGAAATTAGGTAGAAGTCATCCTCGTCTATTGTATTTGCAACGATCACAGAACAAAATATGGACTATAACTTGGATACAAATGACAATTTTTTACTCTCGTCATTTCCACGGCTCACCTATTTCGCAATTACTGCTAGCTATGTGAATAGTGATATGGCTGACGGTTATGCTTGGGCACAATTGTTACAACAGACCGAACATTTTGAATTTGAACTTGAATTCGACTCTAATGCCTTTGAACAACACGCATTCAATGTGGACTCATTTCGCACGAAATTTTGGCTCGAAGAGAAAAAATGGTTTGTTACGTACGATCGAAGCTTTAGCGTTGATGAATGTTCGATGCACTCTTCGAGCTCATCTTCTTGTATGATCTGTCCAACACCTGAAAGGATTCGAATGATAGTATCAGATTCAACTACATCCGAACGAGAATCATATTCTAATCTTCATTGCTTAATAGTTAATGATAAATTTTTGAGATGTCAACTGTTACATCGGCACACTGGTACCAAAGAATTGTACTTGTCAGAAGTTACTGTTACACTTCCCACGACTCTCAAAGATCTCATGATCGGTCTTGATACATCGCAAATTACGAAATGTACCATTGATCCCAAATGGAATAGCAATTCGTCTTATGAACATATTCAACTTTTACGCAGTTTACCTCGTTTACGTCGGCTCAAAGTGCCTAATATTAGTCTCAGCTGTCTTTTTCTTCACCAGTGGCCTCATTGTTCATCTGATGATTGAAAATGAGTTTGAGCATGAGTTTAATGTATTATCTTCAAATGATGTCGATGTATTTTGTCATTCATTCACTCGTATCGAATGACTTGACATTAATTCCTCATCTGTTGCTGATCTAGCACAATTTCTCAATAGAATGAACATGACATTAAGACAAATGTGCATTAGACAACCACGCAAGATTAGTAATGAGCAACTTATAACACATGAATGGATCAGACAAAAGACGAACTTACAAAATTTTTACTATACACGCAATGATTGGAACACTGTATATTTGTGGCTTTACTACTTCTGTCATAGGAACATTTCACATATGCCTTTCTCTTTTTATTGTATCTATAACATTGATTTTGTAAGAAAAGGCAAATCTTTGAATAAAGAACTTAGAAATTCATACAAACGTCATATTCGAGTATTTGTAGAGCACAAATGTAAAAAGTGTACAAAAGTGATCAAAACTACTATTTGAAAGAAAGCCATATTTTCGACCTTATTTAATATTTACTTGAATTAAGAAATCCTTTCACAAAATTAATTGAAATGTATCTTGAAAATTTCTTATATATGAACAGATATAATAAGCACAGAATCTAATTTTTTTCTATTCGCTCATCTTGGTTATTACGAAGAGAAAATTCATTATTTCATACTTTATATTGAATTATATCACGAACAACCCATCAATTGACCAAAAAGTCCTAAGGGTCAATATTGAATGTCGATTAATGTTTCCCAAAATATATACTCAAGTTAGATAAATTCTTTTTTTCATTGGTGTCTCTTTCATATTCAATAATTTTAAATATATGTGACATATTTTTTATCAAGAAATTTTCTTTGAAGTAATTCTTACAATATATTGAATATATTGTAATAGGTGGTTATTCCTAGAGAAGATTAAAAGTTAATTAAAAACATAGACAAAAATTTATTGATAAGAATTTAATCACAAAAGCTTCTCAAGGATGTTTATCTTCAACTTGATAAAAAAAGAGATATAATGAACAGTTAACAAAATCACATTTTTTAGTCAATGAATGAATGTCTAATAACTGGAATCAAATAATATGATTATTTTCATCATTCAATGAACTAACATC